TGGAGCATTCCTTTAATGTCGGTCTGTACAACGGAATTGTGCCAAAATTACGCCAACCGGCTGCGGAGGGAGACTCCTCCCTTCACTGGAGAACTGCGCTAAAACAGCTGATCACAACGTTCACACTCTGTGGTCACGAAGTACTCCACTCCACTAGCGCCCCCCCTGTCGACTTTCCTGAAGTTTCTAAGTAAGATAGAAATCAATACGTAATGAATTAAGACCCCACGGTTTGATGATTGATAGGTGCTCTCTTTCATTTTGACACACAGACATTTTTTACAATAAACATGTTAAATGGATATATCCTTCTTCTTTCATTTATCTTTCCATTCCCACAACAATATACATAAAGAAATGACATATTTTGGACATAGTTCGAATGGTGATTAATCATGATTAATAAATGTTTAAGCTGTGATTAATCTGATTAAAAATTGTAATCGTTTGACAGCCCTAATTTATTTATTTTTGGATTAGATCATAGATACGTCCATGAGTTAAGAGATGGAATGATATGATGATTCACACTCATGTACAGTAGGTGGCGGTATGCACCTTAAAGTTGTTTGCAATCCGCCAAAAAACCGAGAGAAGAAGAAGTCAACTGGTTTGCCAACGGACAATTTACACCGAAGAAGAAGAAGCGAACATTTCTGGCGGGTGAAATTTAGAGTATCAGATTACATGCGATGTCTGACTCTGAGAATTTAGTAGTTTGCCTTATAGTCCTTCTCCTCCATTTTCTTCCTCTTCTCGAGTAGTCAGTGTGGTGCTGTTGCTTTGGTCTGGGTCTCTGGACCTGTGAGCTAACCACGCCCCGTTCATTTGCATATAAGGAATGGAAATGTCTCATCATGAAATACAAGTCACATGAAATAAGCCATTATGAAATACGAGTCTCTTGAAATAAAGAAACGCGTCATTATGAAATACAAGTCATCTGAAATAAATAAATATGTCATTATGAAATACGAGTCTCTTGAAATAAATAAATGTGTCATTATGAAATACAAGTCTCTTGAAATAAATTAATGTGTCATTATGAAATAAAAGTCCCATGAAATAAATAAATGTGTATTTAAATGTACATGTATACATATTTATTGCCTAATTTATTTATTTTATAATTTATTTCATAGGCATAATTATATATATGTATTTATTTAATTATTTATGTATATATTTATTTATTTAATATTGGCTTAAATGGCATTCCATAGTGGACCAACGTAGTTATTACACGTTTTTTTATGAGACTGGGTTGGCATTACTGAGGTCAGCCTATGTGAGGTTGAACCTCACTCTAACCCTTCACATTCAAACAGAAACTGAATAGGCAGATTCAAAGGATTTATTTCTTTGGAAATTTTATTTTAAATACAATTTAATCAAGTTATTTTTGGTAAAACTAATGACAAATATTACTAAAAAAATATTTTAAAAAAATATATAAAGAAAAATATAATTTGTTTTAATGTTTTTAAATATTATTTTGTAGAATATCTTAGGCCAGGGGTGCCCAACCGGTCGATCGCGGGGAGATTCCCAGTCGATCGCGAGATGTGTCTAAAAATAGAACAACAATATTCTGTTTTATCGTTAATGTCCTATAACTTAATCTTCCTGTGCCAGAATAATGCACTTGAACGCATCAAAGCTTTGTGATTGGCCGGCGTGACCCCATGTGTGGGGGCGTGGCTGCTGGGCAGTGGGCACTAGTTAGCTGACGTTGTCTGTGTCAACAGGAGTGACAGTCCGCACACACACAAGACCGCAATAGCTTGGTTTCACGTGACGTCACACCGTTGCGTTCCTTTGGCGCGAAATTCCATTGGAGGTCAGGAAGTAATTTTCTACAGAGGATCTAGCTGCTGTTACCATTGTGAAAATGCCGGTGTGTTGTGTAGTTTACGGTTGTTCCAATCGATCCGGCCGAGAGAAAAACAAGAGGTTTTACCGAGTGCCGAAGGTTGTCGTCCATAAAGCTGAGCAATTTAAGAAGCTAACCGAAGAACGCCGGAAAAAATGGCTTTCAAACCTACATCTGCGGTCGGGAGGAGCAGAGTCGTCTAATGCACGGGTCTGCAGCGACCACTTCATCAGAGGTATTAGCTAACTTGGTTTTTGTGGCTTTGTTTAGGTATTATTGGGTTGTGGTTAAATGCGTATTTACTTAGTAATACTGATCATGTTTAAGTTACCTGTAGTCTAATATGGACTTTGTTGGGACTTTTTAGGGTGCCCTAGCGCTTTGGGTGACGTTGAGTCGGTAGACTGGGCTCCCACTGTTAGCCTCGGTTACCACACAACAAGTAAGCCCAGATCAGAGGCATCTCTTCGACGAGAGCAGAGGATGGAGCTCAAGGAAGACCAACAAAGACAATCAGAATGTGCAGAGGCTTTGTTGGATCTCCTGCAGACAACCGAGAGCCCAGAACCGACGCAGCCCCCGTCTGACAGCCCACAACCAGAGGACACCAGTGGGATATTAAATGACCAACAAGGTCAATTAACCACCAGCATTATTATTAAATATTACAAATGTGATTGTCAGAAAATCAATGCAAACTTTGAATTAGGTTTAGAAAATAGAGCACTAATTTGAGAATCTGCAATAATTGGAACAGAGAACTTGCATGTCTGTAAAAAGGTTTGTCAAAAAGATAACTTCACAAAAATTCACATTCATATTTGACTATTTTAAATAACTAATTATGCTTGCTACTGCTATATTGTAAGCAGATGCAGGATGCCAGACTGATTTAACGATGGAGGACATCGAGAGGATGGAGGATGTTCTGAGACAGAACACAACAGAGCTGGGAGATCTTCGGACAAAGGCACTGGACACAAAGTTCAACCAGGAGTCCTTTGAGAACAACGAAGAGAAAACAAAGTTTTACACCGGGCTCCCCAACTTCTTAGTTTTACTTCAGGTTTTTCAACTGTGCGAGCCCTACATCACCTGTGGCCCTATGTCTGTGCTCTCCAAATTTGAACAGTTCATTTTAGTTTTGCTGAGGCTGAGACTAAATCTCCCTCTGAAAGATTTGGCTTTCAGGTTCAACATCTCTCTCTCCACTGCTTCTAGAATTTGACATAAGTTAATTGACATACTTCACGAGAGTACAGAATTTATAATTGAGTGGCCAGAACGACATGTACTTCAAGCTACAATGCCAATGGGATTCAGACAGGCATTTGGATGTAGAGTTGCTGTGATTGTTGACTGTTTTGAAGTTTTTATTGAGAGGCCCTCTAATTTACTAGCTAGAGCACAAACATGGTCCAACTACAAGCATCACCATACTGTTAAATTTCTGATTGGTGTTGCTCCCCAAGGCTATGTTACCTACATATCTTGTGCCTGGGGAGGAAGAGTTAGTGATAAACAGATCACAATACAGAGTGGGCTCCTAAACAACCTGTTACCTGGAGATATTGTCCTAGCAGACCGTGGGTTCGATATTGCCGATAGTGTGGGATTTTACTGTGCTTCACTAAAGATGCCTGCATTCACCAGGGGGAAAAGTCAGCTGTCAGCATACGAGGTGGAAGAGACAAGAAAAATAGCTAATGTGCGTATTCATGTTGAAAGAGTCATAGGATTAGTCAGAAGAAAATATCAGATTCTGCAAAGCAGGGCTGTGCCCATCGAGCACATGCTAACAAAACCAGGTGAGGCACTAGCATTAATTGACAAGATTGGGGTTATTTGCTGTGCCTTGTCTAATCTGTCAGTGTCTGTCGTCCCATTGGAGTAAAGTCATGGAGCTGTAGTCTTGTAAATAAGAAACCATGTATTTTTCAGTAAACATATTTTTGTGTTCAAACATCTTGTGTTCAAGTCTTTTCAGTAAACATCTTTTTGTGTTGAAAATTGTGTAGCACCTACTCAATATACAACTTGCATCTACATTCAGGCTTAATTCATTCAACAATATTCTAGAGATGACAATTGGTCTGGTGACGCTCCCATGTATGGCCATTGAGGGTTATTGTAAACGTAAATAAGAAACCATGTATTATTCAGTCTTAGTATCATTTAATCTTTTCAGTAAACATCTTTTTTACAATAGCAATATATCACACAGCCCTACTTCCTCTAGTGAGTGTGGTCAGTGAATATGAAGGTGCTGTAATGCAGGTTAAAGAGCTGCCACTGTGCAAATGTTACGTTCCCTTGTAAATATAGGGGTACAAAGGGAAGTAGCGACACACAACATAACCGGCCGAGAGAAAAAGGAGAGGAAACTGATCTCTGACGCCATAAAGTGGTCTTTTAATTAACACAACGAAAAAGGGCTCACCAGCCAACTTGTCAAACAAAGCTTAAGATAAGGGGAGAGCGACTGCAACCTTCCTCATGTCCTATATGGAGGCGCTGATTGGAGATTGGGAGCACCTGGGGAGATCAGAGGGAGAGAGAAAAAGACACCCACACACACCCAAACACCAGCACCCACTACGGCACGTAATAATAATGCAACAAGGAGAGAACCACAACTTCCGGGACCAGGACAGACCACAGGTGCTGGTAATCACGCCTTCTCTCCCTCCTGATCATCTTGCAACTGAAACTGAAAAATGGAACAGCAGACAGGGAGAGGAGGCTTTTAGTCACCTGATAGTTATGCACTAACATGTTCTTGTGGGAAAAAATGAGCACACCAACTCTTTATGACTTTTACCTTGTAAGTTGCTGTCCCGACACTTCAGGGAGAACACATAGTCTGAAGAAACGCTCAACTCTGGGAATGATGTTGTCCCACAGGTCCACATCACGCACAATTCTCTACAAAGAGGTCATTTTTAGTCCAGACAACAAAGTCGCAGTAGTCAACATCAACGAGGTGGAGCTGAGCCTGTACTTGATGGTAGTAGGCATGTCTCCTGTCCAGCTTCACAGTGCCCCCATCGTTGACGAGACAGAAGCCCTGTTCTCCAGCACACAGGCGAAAATTGGCCTCCTCTTGTTTTCTGTGTGGGCACTAAAAGTTCAATGAAAAGAAAAGTAATATATTGTACTGTAAATAAGTGTCTGCAGCTCAAAATGTATTGGGAGAGGATCCCCAGACTCAGGATCACGTCACAATCCTATACTTACCCGCTTTACTGTAGCACAATACTGAACAAATAACTTACCTTTATCTCACAGATACCAGTTCCATGGCAGGTGCACGTGACACCTCCGTCTGGCGACGCTCCCATGTATGGCCATTGAGGGTTCAGCCAAAGCCCGCTGTCTTTACAGCTGAAACCCTGGTGGTGCAGACTTTGTACTCCTTCATACTGCTTTCGGGCAGTTGCCTCGTATTCGTATACACACACACACACACACACACACACACACACACACACACACACAACACACACACACACACACACACAACACACACACACACACACACACACACAACACACACACACACACACACACACACCACACACACACACACAACACACACACACACACACACACACACACACACACACACACACACACACACACACACACACACACACACACACACACACACACACACACCACACACACACACACACACACACACACACACACACACACACACACACACACACCACACACACACACACACACACACACACACACACACACACACAGTATTTTTATGCATTGAATATTTTGTGAATCATGTTTTGTAATGATAATGAATTTAGTTATAAGTTACTTGTACTGTAACTTACTGATATACGTGATATATTCAGCGTATACCACGGGTAGAATTGTAAGTTACTTTTCACAACAAGTCGGTATCCCTCCGCGTCTGAGAAAAACTGTATACAGTTTGCTTTTCTGATTGGCTCCCTAATCCCTAATAAATACCTTGTTGCAGCTGTAGAGAACTTGTATGCCTCTGGGTAGCATATGGACTTGATCAAGGACTTTGATGGCTGTGCAAGACTAGTCTGTAGAACCTGCTTCAGTCTTGAGGCTGTGATCCTTCCTGCTCTTTGGCTAAACCATATTGCTGATAAGCTCTGGTTTCTGGTCTCCTCCTCTACTGCCTGGACCTGTGGCTGTGTCAGCTCTTCCTGTCTGAAGTCCTGGCATGCATTCTGCAACTCTGTTGGGGATAGCTGTAGCATCTCTGGTGTCCTATACTGAGGTAGTGGTTTAGGTAGCTTGCTCACAGATTTAGGGACAAATTCTCTGTAATATGGTTCCCTGGACATCAGTGCAGCACTTCTTGGGGAATTTCTGCTCAAAGTGTTGAAAAACTGCATATACCTCTCTGATCCTCGCTCCAATGTTGAACCCTGGACTGTGGGACACTGAAATGTGTGCTTCTCACCTGTCCTTCCAGCAATGGCATCATCCAGTTTTTGCTTTTTGGATTTTGCGGATGAAAAGTCTATCATCGCAACTGGAGCAGCAGGAATCTGCACATGTGAGAGACAGACCAACATGTATGTGAACATACATGTAGGTGCAGTGTCACAATGAGACAGGCAAGGACGGCATGAACAGCTGACTGACCACTGGGGTCTGAATACCTTTTTGACATGTGATGGCATTAGCCACTTGCACTTCTCAGTGGTGCAGGATGCAGTCTCTCTCATCTTCACACCTGCTTCGATTGCAAACAGAACTGCTCCAACATGTGAGCAGGATTCTGACAAACTGTATAGACAGAGACATATTAGAATAACTAGATTGATCGTAAAAGCTAGTAATGGTATAACATGAATATTATAGCAGGCATTATTTTGTCTGAGCTTAAGTGTTGTGTCAAATATGCTTTGGGTTGGGATATTTATTTTATGACTTACCCAGCCATACAGTTACAGTGTGCTGTAACAACCTCTCCATCTTCTTTAGCTACAATCCACGTTTTTAAATGGTGTTTCTCCAGACCTCTGGGAATGGTTGACCTACACAATTGAAGCTCCAGTTCACAACTTGCGAGTTGGTAACATACATTTAACAACATCACAAGCAACACATAACCAGATGGTCTTGGTAAAGAGGTTGTTTTTAATATTAACCTCAACATAGAGTGATATAAACAACGTGCAGGCTGTTCAAAGGCTCTGAGCTGTCTATACACACAAAACACAATATATCCTAAGCTAAACACATACACATAACAAACATACACATATATACACACACAACACACTCACAGGCCAGTTAATGCTGAAGGCAAGGCGACAGCCGTAACACTGCCTTACATGAGTCCATGTAGCTAAAGTTAGCTAGCTAGATGTCTCCTAATAATGCTACTTAGAGGTAAGAAGGTATAGGTAGTTAACACTCACCCGGGCAAAAACAAGGCGACATTTGTTTAATGCCTATTTGGTGCCGAGGTCATTCACCCATCCACACACGAAGTAGTTGAAAGCTTCCAGGCTTTTATACGCTTTCATCTGGCTAGCCGTGTAGTAGGAGGTATGAAGGACGAGGTAGCTGGTGATATCCATCGCCTCAACAGCGGGCAAATCTGATAAATCACGAGAAAAGTCGTTTTTTTTCAGCTGATACGGATCGTATCCGATGTGTGCTGTGATTTTTTCACGATATCTGCGGCGTGCAGGTTCATTTAATTGTTTGACATAGTCGGTGTCCTCCATGATTCCTGCGTTGATGAATGATTGCGTTTTCACTTCCTGACCTCCACTTGAATTTCGCGCGTCATAGAAGTCACGTGACTGAAACCAAGCTATTACGGCAGATGCAAAATAAACCCAAAATATATAATTTTCACTCCGAGTGGGAGGATGATTATTTGTGTATCTATTCAAAACAGTGCACAAACGCTACGAGACAACAAGAGCAAGGCTGCTACCAGAGCATCGTATCGTGTCAGTCACGTTCTTGAGAAACACATGAAGTCTTTCAAAGATGGCGAAGTTGTGAAAGAAGCATTCCTGGAGGCTGCGACGCGCTTTTGGGGGACAGTAAAAATAACAGTAACATTTCAACAGGTTTTTAATATAATAAAAACTAAAGTTAGATACCGTTATTAATCAGCTGTGAGTTTGAACTTATTCATTATAATTATTGTACAAAATGGTATAAGAATGCAAACTTAAATTGATTATAGTCTATCATCAATTCAGGTTAAGAAACTAGTGTTGCTTGCATCCTATTTTAAAGGCATTTATTTTTATACTCTACTAAAATGCAACAAAAAAAGGGTTTGATTCTATTAATTTTGTCTTTTTTATTGCACTTTGGCAGCAGATTCCTGTGTAGCTTCAGATCTGAGTTGTCTTATTAGTAAGCCTAATTTATACTTTTGTAGCAACACTATTTTTATATAATGGCAAAGAAAGGATTCAGAGTATTTTCTATGTGGCAGCACTGTTCAATGTTTCTTGAAAACATTACCCACTGTAGTATGTGACGTGTGAATAAACTCCAACTCTGTATCAACAACACTGTTGTGTAACTTCAGTTAAATACTTGTATGTGTGTAGATTAGAAAGAGGTAAGATAAAGGATCTGCAGTATTTTATGAAGTATTAATCGTACAGAGGTCAGTTTTATACAAGTAGCAGTGTGTATTTACCTGGTAGTAGGCTGTCAGTAATGGCTACGTCTCTCTATTTGGACTGGTAGATCTCGGCAGACTGGCAACTTTAAAAGTAGCTCTCGGTTCAAAAAAGGTTGGGCACCCCTGTCTTAGGCCCTCAGAGACAGGCTCGCCACTGGTAAAAATCTCTCATACACACATGTGAAACGCTCTCACAGACACACACAACAGCGTTGCAGTCGGGAAGAAAAGCAATGTGGAGCGAGAGAGAGAGAGAGTGAGAGAGCAAGAGAGAGAGCACACCTTTATCTATTTAATAAAGTTGTAAAAAATAAAGTAAGAAATCATTCCAATGTGTACTATAGGACAGTAAAAAGATTAAAAGGGGAGGGATTAGTCAAATATGCATAACTAAAAAGAAAGAATGCTAATTAGGTAACATAAGATAAGAATAAACAAGTTTAAATGATTTGTTGTGATCATATTCTAAAGATGTTTGGATTATTGAAAAGTATACAGCTCCCTTTCATCTGAGTGTTGAGAGCTGTATCCATAAATTCATGTTGGGCTCAAAGTAGGGCTGCTCGATTATGGCAAAAATCATAATCTCGATTATTTGGGTCAATAATTGATATCACGATTATTAAAAACGATTAACCATTTACTTTGAAAACATCAATTTATTGAAGAAAATAGTTTGAAAAGTATGTTTTTAACAGTTGATTACCCTGAACTTTAAGTATAATTCAACTGAAAAACCTATTTTAAAAAAATAAAATCGTTTTATTTAGATTATGTTGTTTTCATAATCGTTGCAAGCCAAAATCGTAATTGCGATTAAAATACGATGAATTGAGCAGCCCTAGCTCAAAGTGCACCAGATTGATGCATTTAACTTCAACATTTAAAAAAAATCTTCCTGGGGGTGCATGCCCCCGGACCCAGAGGATGTGACGTCCACCACCAAATAAAGCAGGTTAAAATAATTAAATTGCATACATGTTATTTTAGTAAACACTGAAAACGGGTCCCACAGACCCAAACAGCACACAAAGGTTAAAGGTAGCATATAATAATGTTAAAATGTGCTAAATATATACACTGCAAAAAAACAAAAAAGAGGAGTAAAAGTAGCTCACGATTTGTTTTATTTTTTGAAAGTAGTTCTCATCCTAAAAAAGGTTGGAGACCCCTGTTATTGAACGATACATTTGACAATTTTAAGCTTGGCCTACCATTTGATTGGAGCGATGAGGAACAGGTGGGGCTTGAAAAGGCCCACCTGTTCAAAGTGGGGAATGACAGAAAAAGGTTGAGAACCACTGCTCTAGTTGAACTGTGACTGCAAAGCTTGGTAACAAATCATTCTTAGTCGAGCTAGATGACCCAACAATCCAACCATATGGGGGGGTTTGGAATACTTCTGCTGTTTGCTTTACCTGTAAACAAATCCAACTAAAATGATTATATTGCATTTTTTCCGCCCACTTCAAACCTCTCCCTTAAGTAAGGCCATGGATGCGGGATGTCTTGCTGGTGGTCTGATGAATCGCCTCTGTCGATGTTATCTTCATTTTCAGTCCTGTCGCTGACTGTACTAGCGTTACTCTTGGACATTATGCCGTTAGACCTTTCTCCCTTAAAGAGCAACTTGCAGGTTTTTATTTTTACTAGATTTATGCTTAACCTTGCCTGAAAATTACAATTAAAAAAGTTAATGCAGGATTTGATATGTTTTACGAGACATAAGGGCAGGAATTCAGAGGGAAAGAGACGTTTTGAGCTCTGCTACTAAAAACTGCTTTTTTTTTAACGTCATATTACGTCACATGGGGGAGCAACTTTCTCGGACTCCTTTTCTGCCCAATCCGCGGTAGTAGTGGTTTGAGCGGTTGTGATTTAGTGAGCTGGTATTTTTTCGGTAATTTTACATTGCATTTCACCATTTGTAATCATGGTGAGCTTGTGTTTGTACAGGTTGCACAAACTCAAGCCTGTCAGTGTCAGGACTTCGAGTCCACAGTTTCCCTAACAGGAAAAGGACCGGAGCTAGCGTTCGTTCCTGGGTGCGTTGTGCGAGGTGCGTAGCACATACAGTACTCTCCACAGCTGAAGCCTATCAAACAAAACGTTTATCAGGAAACCGTATTACATCTCTCTCCCTCCCTTCGCTGCTCTCTCTCTCTCCCCCCCATTCGTTCCTCTCTCTCTCCCCCCCTTCGCTCCTCTCTCTCTCCCCCCCTTCGCTCCTCTCTCTCTCCCCTCCGGTACACAGCACCGGCACCGTAGACGTAGTGTGGAGTTGCATTAGATAACGCAAGATACGGCTGATACTTGCGCATTAGTTTCTGTTATGGATCAGGATCAACAGTCCTGCCAGTAACGTTACTATATTATCAATACTACTTTAGTTATAGCCTGATATATGATAGCTAACTTTACAATGTTGTGATGTGACGTTAGCTAACATTAACTGTAGCTAACGCCGGTCACTCACCAAGACAGCTGCCCTGTTCTCCACTGGTTCTCCTCACACCACAGCTCCATTTCTCTCCGATGGCCGTTATTTCTTCTAATCCTTGGCTCCTGGTCTCTTGGACGCATAGCAGGCTCATAATTATAATCATATGCATTCGAATATGTTCAACCTCTTCGGTGTCAAAACTAGCATTGTGATCCATGTTTATTCATACGTTAGACTGGCCGCTCTCCCCCATGTTACGTCACACGCGGGAGGTCACGTGGGGAGGCTTTTTTTATGCGGAAGTAAAAATGTCTTGCAAAAAAGACGCCAGATGTCACTGTAGTGTATATTTATGTATATTTTTGGGAAAATCTAGTGTATTCATCATTTTCCTACACATTTATTCACTGGTGTGTCTAACCTGCAAGTTGCTCTTTAACGTCTCAAAATATCAATAATTGGTAATTCACCTCACATGCATTAAAAAGTAACAAGCCTGTTTTGAAAATGTAGGAAGTAGAAAGTAAAAAGTCGTCAGAAAAATAAATACTTAAGTAAAGTACAGATACCTGAAAAATCTACTTAAGTATAGTAACAAAGTATTTCTACTTCGTTAACTACCCACCTCTGGATAGGGCCGTGGGCGTAAAGCCAGCCCACATTTCCGATATTATGTAATATCGGCAGCAAATCTGGATCAGCTCCGTTGTTCCCCTGTTTTTAGAGATTTGGGTAAGGAGGAAAAGAGAGAGGGTTGTATTTTCTGACACTTTATGAGTTCCCTTACACACCGGGGACACATATTTATGTATAAAATACATCAAAAAGTGCATTTTGCATGATAGGAGACCTTTAAGATTTAGTCAAACTATCTCTTCTGTTGGTTACTGGCTTGGTTGGGTTGGACTAAGGTCATGGTTAAAAAAACAGTTTGGTTGCGGTGACAAATGTGGCTCAATAACAATGTCATGCTTGTAATTTATCTTATTGTCAAAAACAATATATAACTTTGGCTCACAACATAAGATGTTGTTCACTAAAAATAAAATAGAGTTTATAGGTTAAAAGTGATACAATCTTGTTGACTTATTGCTTATGTTACCTTCTTAACAGGCTCAGTTTAGAGAAAGATTTAAATCCTACTGATCGGAGTGAAACATTATCATAATGCTAATGACCAAAACTAGATCTTGTTTATAAAATACAAAACGTAATATTTGAAGGCTGTGTGGAATTCAGTAGCCTCCATATGCTATTGTTAGAGTGATAATGATTGCCTGTTTACAAAAAAGCTCATGGTAAACAGATTAAAACCATGAATTAATAATGAAATGATC